TACAAGCTTTTACGCGTTTTTGATCATGTACTTTACATACAAAAATGAAAGAAAGTTCCGCCATGCTATTACACATTTTCTTGCCTCTTATATTTCGAATCCTAAGAGCCCATGGGCTACCCCGATTCGGGGACTATCGAGCCCAAGGGCTACCCCTACTTGGGGACTGTCGTCTAAAAAATAAAATTCGGACAACTCGGGCTACTAAATCCCGGAGGTACCAAACCTATTAGGCGATGCCTAAATACAAAAGGCTATGACCACCCTAAAAATGGCTCGGAGACGTCCGAAGCTCGTAATCAGAAAGTAAGGCCTTTATAAAAACTCGAAACCTACTAAAAGGTTACCCTCGTCAAACGCATTGTCTAAAATCATTTAAGCATCCTGAAAAAACTTCCGGGCACACCGAGTTTTCAAAGCCTCGAGCACACAAAATTATATCGAAGCCAGGCTCCGTTCGGACCACTAAAAAGTGTTCACCCTATAAATACATTTGATTCTATGCTAAGGCATTAGAAACATTACAATAATAGAAATTATGAAAAGATGTTGAAAAAGTAAAGACACGAAATTGCTAGAAAGGGAAAATTTTATATATATATTCCGAAATATACCTACAAAGGCCCCATTAAAACGGCCTAAAAAATAAAAAAAAAAACATAATATATACATGAGACAAAAACCAAAAACAAATGCTAAGGAATCTACGCCTGATCTACACTAGGGCCCGACTCGTCGCCAGAATCGTCGGAGCCTTCGGATCCCTCGGAGCCCTCGGAGTCTTCGACACCTTCGGGCTCGTAAAGCTTCTTTGCCTCAGCCTCGAGCTTTTTCTCTTCCTTGATCTCTGCCGACATGTCAAAACCTCGGGCGTGGATCTCTTCGAGGGTCTCTCTTCGGGATAGTTGCTTCATATATTCGGCCTTTCCTTTCAGGAGGGTCTCTGCTACCTCCATATAAGCCTTGTATTGGCCACCATCTCTTCAGCATCGGTAGAGGTTGTGTCCAATTTGGACTTCACATATTCATATTCCTTACCGAGGGCATCCCGTTCTGCGACGACCGAGCTCAGTTTTACTCGGAGATCGTCATTTAGTTAAAACCGCTTGTCAACTTTGTCTTTCACCCGGAGTTGGTTCTCAACTGATGTTAGCTTTGCCTTAGCGGTTTCCTTCTCTGAAGCCAGCAAGTCCATTTTTCTTTTCCACCCGTCGACCATGGTCTGGACCTAATCATCTCGACTCAGTTGGTCAATAAGGTCGATCTTCTATTGGACCTACGAGGTTTTTTTGTTAGTCACCACGACTAGATCCTCATTTTTAGATTCAAATACCTTTACCTTTTCAACCAGGTCGGCATGTTCCCGCTTCAGGGACGAAGCTTCCCTCTAAGCCCTGTCTAACTCGGCCTGAAGATCCTTGATGGCCCTGTCCTATTTCTTACTGAGAAGCTTGTACATATCCTACTTCTGAATCTGCTCCTTGAGCTCAAACTCGAGCTGGTTAATTTCAAAGCGATACCGGAGGAAGCTCTCGTGGTAAAGCACCGAGGCCTGCAAAACAACGAAAATAGTAAGAGATATCAAACCCTAAGTGGAATTCACAATAGAGTATTGATGCATTACCCGTTTCAGCGCCTGCTGCGCCTCATTGAAGAGACTCGATCCGCCCACATCATTCATCTTTGCATGGTACTCCTCAGTCACCAAGCATCGGAGGCAGCTAGCTATGCCCAAGGGAGCGTATAGAACCCGATCATCCTCTGGGACAGTAAGAATAGCCATTCTCTTGCGACCGGGGTCCACACTCCGAGTGGCAAACTGTTTCACCAGTTTTGGGCTCGAATCCAGCCCTCCAAATTCCGAAGGTGTGTCCTTCTTTGGGATCTCCAAGACACCCAGCCCGAAAATATCTTCCAAAGTGGACATGTTCACGTCATCAAAGAAGGAATAGAGAGGATCGTCCTCACCGTGAACTCTTTCACTTGACTTTTCCTTTCCTTTTTAGGCCTCTTCAAGCATGGACTCGGTGTAGGATGGCATCTTGATGATGTCTATCATACCGGTCGCCTCCTTCACAACAGAAGCAACTTTTAGGGGGTCTTAGCCCCTGTCTCCATCTCGGCCTCTTGAGTCGGAAGAAGATCAGCCTCATGGATTTTTTCCATGATTGCCGCTTGCTCCCCGGCAGGGGTCAATCCATGAGCGATGAAGATGTCATCTTCTTTGGACTCATCCTAGAGCTGGCGAAGCGAGTCAGAATCCGGCACCTAGGAGTTGGTGTTTTTCTTGGGCTTACGAGCCCAGGAAGCCGCCCTCTTTTTTGGCTTCACCTTGGGACCCGAGGAGACCGAATACTTTATTTTCCTCTTCTTCTAATCCCACATGGCAGCCCTGGACTGTCCCGTAACAGAGGAATCAATGGGTAAGGGCACACCCTCATCCCCTTACAAGGGCCTAACTTGAGTGGTCTTAGGCAAATCTGCGAAGAAAAAAGAAAAGATCGGCGTTATTCTGAGAAGAGCCTTACCATGAGAACGGGCTTCTCATCGGCCCTTCCAAAGCTTGCACCACGAGCGCTTGAAGTATGACATCTGCTTGCAGATGCATTTGATCTACTCTTTGAGCCGGGGGACAACATTGGGAACCCAAGCAACATATGCACGGCCACAAATACTGATGGTGAGAAAGGAAATAAAGGAAACTAGACACTTAAGGAAAGTCTACACTTACGAGATGCATTCCACTTCTCGGGAAATGATAGGAACTCGGGAGGGATCAAATCTTCAGTCTTCACCCCAATGAAGTGCCCCTGCCAGCCTCGATCTCGATCTCGATCCTCGTCGATGCTCGAAAAGGGGGCCACGCTGGCCCGGCGAGTGAGATTGATTAGTCCCCCTCAAAAAATATGGGGACTATATAGACGGATTAGGTGGTCGAGGGTGAACCAATGTGACTTTGTGTTGTTCAAAAAGTAACATAGGAGGATCACGATCCTCCAAAGAAACGGGTGGATTTTCCCAAGGCACACCTTGTATCTCTAAAGGCCAAAACTATTGGTTCGACCGGGCCCAGTGTCAAGGGATAAATGTAAATACTTAAATACCCCTCCACATAAGTGGTAATATCATCCTCAGGCCCCGGGACTACGAACGTCCTTACCTCCTCATTTACAGTCCTCTCGGATTATGTGAAGGGTATCTTCGGTAATAAAGCATATATATCTCGATGCCCCTTCACATCGGTCTTGTTTGGATGAGGCCTTCTCGACTTTGACGTCGTCTGCAATTGAACATACCCCCAGGAATAAAGTTTTTTTATGNCGGGAACGGCCGCCTCGGTACTTGTGGAACTGATTTGGAAGTCTTGGCCATCGTGATCTGGAGAATAAGAAGATTTGAAACGAAGATATGAAGGTTTAAAGGAAAGATATGAAAGTTTGAAGGAAAAGGTATGAATGTTTGAAGGTTTGAAGGTAGGATGAAGATCTAGGTAGAAACCTAAGAACAATTATGAAGATTTGAAGATCAAAGGTAAAGAGATAAAGATTTAAAAGAGTTGATAGCCGCTAGAGAATTCGAAGATAAAAGCTGCGATTGGAAAGTGGAAGAAGTACAAAAGGTTGAAGCTTTTATAGGAGAAAATATAATCATTACGCGACGTGTCACATTCGGAGGCGACCAACCGATGGTTGACACATGTCCGAAGTCAGAACGACGAGACTAATGGGACATTTAGCTTATTCGTCGTCTCGATTGTAACGTACAAAGGAAGGAACCGGAGTTCATCCATTGTTTTCCATCGTTTCGGCAAACCTACTCTTAGAGAAACAAGGGGACTATCTGTATACGGGTCAACTCGGGGGCAGGACATACCCCGAGTTCTCGGTGAGTCAAAAAAAATGAATGTATGAGATAGAAACCGAATCTGAGAACTCTTTGATTCGACGATGGAACGGGGTAGTCGTCACCGGGCCTAACAAGACAACAACACCCCCCCACCCCCACCCCCTGAAAACGGAACAAGCTCCAAGACCTCGGAAAGCATTACAAACGGTTGCACACGACTAATAGAGGGCTGTGATATCCGCACCCAATCGAATATCACGGCTCGGATCTCGTCCGATGCCGGTAGCGTATCAGTGATTGATGTACAAGGAGGATTTTTATCTTTTTTAGAATTGTACTAGGGGTAAAACTCCCCTACTATATAAAAGAGAAGTTTCTTATTCAATAGAGACATTATAACACGCATATCAAGGCGATACATATTTATTTCTCTACTTTCTAACTATTGAAAGGTTCTCATTTTAATTATAGTTCTTCATATACATTTGGCTTCGAATCAAAGGTCCAGTCGAGGTCAAAACTATTGTTGAGCTTAAATTCGAGCCCGGATTCAACATCATAACTGGTTTGGTTATTTATTTTATCTTTAATTTGTTTAACTAACGTTCTTGATTGCTTGTATTGAATCAATACGCATATCCTTAAAACCGCGTACAAATTTAATTGTTATCCGTTTTAAGGTAAATATTTATAATAGTAAAATCGGCAAGCTATGTATTAGTTGCCCATAAAATACAAAACATACTAGAAAGTCAAATTGCTATATCATCATTTTGCCACTATGTACACGCCCACGTGAGAAAACTTTTAACACAAAAACCAACCTTTTCATAACCTATATTTTAAACATAAGCAATTAAAAAACATAAAAATTAGAAGGAAACAAAAAGTTTTTTTTTTTTTAAATTATAAGTATTCCCGAAGAGTTACTCTGTGGTTGCACATTATCTTCCTTTGGAGTAGGGGCGGACGGTGTTAGCGCGGTGGGACAGGTAAAAGTCAAAGTATCCATCTCACTCCCCATGTATTATGACGTTGACATTTACTCTTCTAGTTTCATAAACAGTGACGTTCAATTTTTGATAATTCCTCCCCTCTTTTTCCTTTATAAATACCCTTCAAAGCCCAAAACCACACAGATCTCTACAATCACTTACATCGCTCCCTACGTTGTGTAATTGCTCGTTGTTCTTTATTTTTAATCAAAACTCTCTGGTTTGCTTACTGCAAAACCAGATTTGCTTAAGAAGAGAGCGACCCACAATTTAAATGAAAAGTAGCAGTAAGTACAATATTAGTTCAGAAAAGCCTGATAGGAAAACAGTGGAAAGGAACAGAAGAATCTATATGAAGTATCTTTGTTCTAAGCTTATTTCTCTCATTCCTCCCCACCACTTTAAACCCTCTACGGTACGTACGTTAAACCCACTCTATATGATTATGTTTCTATGATTGCTTGCACCGTAGGAACTAAGTAATAGTTTGTTTTGCTTCACTTGAAAAATAATTCATGATTAGTCTGTCCATCTTGCGAAAATGAAATAAAATTGAAATTAACTGCAAATCAAGAGTGAACGCTAGATGCTATAATCCTGCCACGGTAGAGAGCTGCTGAATCTCAAAACCAAGTCCTTTTGATGGGGATTTTTGGGATCTCACGGTTCTTTAATCTCGGATTTTGGTTTTGGAAATTTTCTAATATTTTCATCGGGATTTTGTAAGGCCAAGTCTTTGTAGTCAAGACGATATGTTGGACAAGCAAACTACTAAAACTAAGTACTATTGATCTTCTTCCTTCCACTATAGGATCAATATTGATCTGTTTTAATATGTTAGAAATGCTACTTTAATTTCTCTCCAAGAGTAGAAGCCAGACAGTTAATTTTAAGCAAGCCATGATTCTTCTTTTTATTAAAAAAAATAAAAATCTAGGGTTTTTTTTAGTTGTATAAGATGCTCTAAGATGGAGAAAGAAAGAGAAGGATGGGCATTGTGCAACCGCTATAGCCTTTAGCAACTTCATATACTCTCTCAGTTCTCACTGCATAACTCTCAACAATCTATCAAATTTTAAGGACCTTTTATTTAACTTAAAGGATTTTAAAAGGTTGCAAGTAATGTACATTTTTCAAATTCACTTGTGCAGTTATCGCTGCTATTCACTTGACCTTTGCTTTTGCCTTACGAGGAAAATCAATTAACAAAACTCCTAATTACCTTAGTACTTGTATTTACATGTGATGATTGTTATCTAATACTCCTAATTTGCGAAAACTCGTTAGCAAAGTTCATATATTTGATGAATTTTAAACCCTATTCTTGCTCAAATTCAACCGATTGAAATTCTGCTGTCAAATGTGTGAGGAAATTTTGTAAATGCTTTCAATAGATAAGTTGATTTAAGAATTTCTAGATTTTCTAAAGTTTTGTACATTGGATAATACGTACCTAACTAATTTCTTGGCAGAAGGTCGGCACACCATTGCCTTTTTCTTATGAGCCAACAATTTATCCTGCCTTAAATGTACTGGAATTGAAGGGAGCCTTTAACCAACGGTAAAGTTGTCTCCACGTGATCACCTATAGGTCACGGGTTCGAGCAGTGGAGGCAGTCACTAATGCTTGCATTAGGGGGTCTGCATTATACCACGGGGTGTGGCCCTTCCCGGGACCCTTCATAAATACGGGATGCTTTGTGCACAGGGTTACCCAAACTGTATCGGAGTACTCACCGTTCTTCGGACAATATCTGATATAATCCTTGAAATGGTTGTTGGAATTTCTCTTAATGCCTATTAGCTTGTTTAAAAGTTCTTGCATTAGCTCAATGTATTAAGACAACTATAGCCTTGTACCTTAAATATGGTTTCAATATTATTCGTAGTGTTTATTCAATGCATAGAATATAATCTTTTTCGGTAAATCAAATTTTCCTTTTTGTTTCCTTAAAGATGGGTTGTTAATTCTTTTCTTGACAATTCCTAGCGAAACAATTTCAGGAGATGCTTTCACAACAAGACCAAGTTGATCAAACTATTACTTACATTGAGCAATTAAAAGAAAGAGTAGAGGTATTAAAGAGAAGGAAGGACGAGCTCGTAGCACAAGGCACAGGTGAAAGAAGTAGTACTTCAAAGAAAGTAATGACAACTTGTACTTTAGAAACACCAGCGGTTGAAGTTAGAGAGTTGGGTTCAACTCTAGAGGTAATTTTAATTAGTGGTTTGAAAAAGAACTTCGCCTTGCAAGAAGTTATAAACGTCTTAGAGGAAGAAGGAGCTCAAGTTGTTACTGCTCATTTTTCAACAATTTGCGATAAGGTTTTCTATACAATCCACGCTCAGGTAATTCATTTATGAGTTTATTATTAGTATGAAAGATGGTGGAAAATGTAGCTAGTTAAATTTAGAACCTAAATATTGCCTTTCTTGTTATCTTATGGTTGTAGGTGAAAATAACGAGATTAGGGATTGATGCTTCGACGGTCCAATTGAGATTGCAAAATCTGGTCTGCTAAATTTTCTAACCAGCAAGGATTAATAAGGAGATATGCCATATACGGATGTTTTAGTTTATGAAATAATAATATACTATTCATACTTTTTTGCCCAACTCTAGAGGTGATTTTAAATAGAGGTGAAGTTAGAGAGTTGGGTTCAACTGTTTTATATTTTTGGATAGGTTAGAAAAGATATCACTACTAGCATCACCTTAATAATCTTGTATAAAGTTTGGGATGCCTTCAATTTGTAACTTTTTGCACATCAATGATCAAATATTTTTGTTTGTTTTACCAAGTAACTTAGAATGTTATATTGTGTTAGTAGTTTTTTCCCCCCTCTTTTGTTGGTTTCAAGTTGGCATGCTTATGTACACATAGAAATCATTGCTCCCAAGGCTACAAATAGCGTAATTAGTTTATCTTTTCATCTTGATGAATCAACAACGGATGCTGAGATGTTTAATTTTTGATCTTTCTTGTTTTCATTGATCTTATTGGGAGAGGGGTAATTAAGAGGTACTATGCCTTTAATTTACAAGGGGAATGGTGCATTTTGGAAGTACGTATACTTTGTGTTTAGATGTAATGCTAGACCTAGTGTCCAAAATCTCTCAGTAACTATTTTAGTCAATAATTTGGTCGAAAATAACAAAGCTACCTAATTAAGCCGCACTTTCTCTTAGATAGCGAAAGAGAAAGAATCACAAATTAAATAACGTCCCAAAAGAAAAAAGGGTAAAAGCAAAAAGGAGTAGACTGGACTTCAACGCTTTCGATCCCGTCAACCTTCGACAAAACCTAAGATTGAATGGTTATGTATAGTAAGAAAAGGTAACTAATTACCTGTATTGCATACAGATATACCGATTCAAGATTGAATGATATGCGTTCGAATTCGAAATACTATCACAATACATTCGCTTGACTAAGTCTGAAATATATAAGTCGTATTATTAAATAAATTTTTAACATATATACATGATCAAAGTTTAAGTTCTATTCGAATACCCATAACATATGTACCACATTCGCCTTTATTCCTCTAACTATATATCTGCATCATATGACATGTGTCTTTTAAATGGAATAGAAATATTTATCCTGATAAATAGATGTATATATTCACTTATAGCGAGTAGGGGCGGATCTAGAGCATTGACTACGGGTTATCGAAAACTCAGTAACTTTGCGTAGACCCTGTATTTATATTAAGAAATTCACTAAATATTTATAAATATCTAATTATAAACCCAGATATTATTGCATATTAATTTAAAATTACGGTAGGAACTCATAAGTCTCAAATCCTGAATCCGCGATAGCTAGCCATGTCTTTCACAATCGCACACGTGAAACTTGAGATTGTGTATCTCCAATTTCAATTGGACTGAGAAATTGGTCGAAACCAGCAGTATGAAAGCTTCAGTCAACGGCATCTTTCTCCTTTTTTTTCCTCCCTTTATTCTTCTTCGTCAAATCCCAAAACCACACGCTGCTTCTTACTACTTGTTTTACATTCAAGATCTGCATATCTCGTCCTCTTCTTTTTTCTATTATGTTCTGGAAATACGATACAAAATGAGTTGGGAGCTCTATTAATTTGTTAGTACTACGTACTATTCTTTCCCTTTAGTTTCTTTTCTTTATGTTGTCAAATACCAGCTGAGAAAGTCCGAAGACGCTAAAGCCAATCTATTCTGTGGATGCGATTGACTATGTTTCTCTAGCCGCTAGAATTTCCATTGGCAATGCATGTATGTATCTAAGATAAATTTCATCGGCCGAACCCGTAACTTAAGCCCTGTTTGGCCATAAATTTTATCAAAATAAATTTAGGTTTTATTTGGTAAACACATGTTTGGCCATAGATTTTGCCTACATTTTAGCAAAATTCCATATCCCAAAACCAGCTGGGCCAAAATATCACTATTACATTTTTTAAAAATTGTCCCAAAATTTTGTATTATAAAATAGCCCACCATTTATTATTTTGTAACAATGTTGCTTCGTCTTCTCGATCACCTGATAGTGTATCACGTAGTTCATTATAAAAATTATAATTTTGTATCAAATTTATTTATGTTCAGGACTATGGTTTGCGATAATATAATGAATGTTATTGATAATGGTATTGTTGGGTATTTGTGATGGTTTTAGAACTTGTTGGTATAAGTCATGTTTCATATTTTTCCAAAATAAATTTGGAAAATATGTTTTGAAAACTGATGTCCAAACACATTTTCATCTTCAAACCAAACTTCACCCAAATCAAAATTTTCAGAACAAATTTGGGAATCTATGGCCAAACGCTAGCTTAGTCTCTAGCTCTTCCCATGTTACTATCATGAAGAAAATGTTGTAACAGATTATCCGGTGAAAATGGATAGTCAGGAGTCTTGGGATATAGAGGTACCAAAGTGTACATCATAAAATTATAGGGTGTTTAGAGTTAGTTAAGAGGGTAGTTAAACTGGTTAGTGGACAGCTGTGTATGAGTTGTCATTTAGTTAGTGAGCACTATATAGCCTTGTATTGAACGAAGACATTGCTCTTAGAAGAATAGAATTTTGATTTCACCTCTTCTTCATTTCTCAATCTTCTTCCTCACCCATAACCGAAGATGGTATCAGAGCGGGAATCGCTAGGACTATAATTTCGATCTATTTCTGGCGAGATTCAAATTTTTCCGGCAAAATACAGAGCTAAGAAATTCTTCAATTTCGAGCTCAATTTCAAACAATCATGGCAGATAACGAAGTCAGTTCACTCGATCATAATCATCTGTTATTTTTACAAGTTTCAGACGCTCTAGGACTAGTCTTAATTAAGCTCAAGCTCACAAGTCCAGAAAACTACGCATTGTGGAGCAGAGCGATGAAATTGGCACTCCGGGGAAAGGGCAAGCTTAGATCTATGGATGGATCTTGTGTAAAAGGTATGTATATATGTGAATTAGCAGAGCAATGGAAAAAATGTAACACAATTTTTCTATCGTGGATTGGTAGTACTGTTTCAAATGAATTAAAGTCTAGCATTGTATATGTATCGAATGCAAAAAAAAAGTATGGGCTGATTTTCAGGAGAGATTTGATAGGTCAAATCTGACAAGGATCTATCATCTTTGGACTGCTATTGCGACTTTGAGGAAAGGAGCTAACTAGATTACTAGCTATTATTCGAAAATGAAGGACCTATAGGATGAACTAAATGTCATAGCACTTCTAGCCTCGTGTGACTGTGAGGAGTCCAGCCTTCAGTAAAGCTCTTGAAGAACATTCGCCTATTGCAGTTCCTAGCACATGGGATTGAACGAAAGTTATGGTAATGTTCGAAGTAATGTCTTGTCCAAAAGACCTGTGATCACATTGAATGAAGCTTATGCAATAGTTACACAAGAAGAAAGTCAAAGAACTCTAGGAGTCACAAGCACATTGAAGGATCCTCTCATAATGCTGGCAGGAAAAGGCCATGAGTTTAGACCTAAGAGGTTAGGATTAATCTGCGTCTATTGTGGTTATAAGGGACGCCTCAAAGAATTTTTTTACAAAATAGTTGGATATCCACAAGATTTAAGGAGTAAGAAGAAAAGGCAAAACACGGGAGGCAGGAATTATGTGAACAATGTAATAAGTGAGGAGAAACATGCACCTATGCTGCCAATACAAGGAAATTTCTTCACTGAGGATCAATATAATTAACTGGTGAATTTGTTGCAGAAGACTACCACACATGACTGTTCCACCAATACTGCAGGTATTATCACTTTAATGGCAAATGCAACTGCTAATGATCATCTTTGGATAGTGGGCTCAGGTACTACTCACCATGTGACACATTGCAAGAATATTTTAGGTAATATTAGAAAAGCATATCATAGAACAGATGGAGTAGAGTTACCTACAGGCAGTAAAGCAGAAATTACACATATAGGAGAAGCAATAGTTTTAGGGAATACAACTATTGAAGGAGTTCTGTATGTGCTAGATTTTAAATTCAACTTATTGTTAGTGTCAAAACTCACTAGCTAATTATGTTGCTCAGTTAGTTTTTACCCCGATTTTTGTATATTTCAGGGGCTCTACAATGGCAAGGTGATGGGGATTGGTAGAGAAAATAATGAACTATACTTGATAAAAGAAAATTTACCATAACAACAATTAGGTTTTTGAAGGAAAATGGAGAAACAACACTGTGGCATTTGAGGTTAGGTCATACACCAACAAAATCTATGCAACATATTTCAGAACTAAATAAGAAGACACAAGCTATGAGAGCATGACAATTGTGAGGTGTGCCCCTTGGCAAGGCAATGTCGACTGCAATTTCCAATTAGTAACACCAGGTCAATTTGTTGTTTTCAGCTCATACACATGGATGTTTGGGGACCTCATAAGGTACCTACATATGATAGGTCAGCTCTATTTTGTTAAAATAGTAGATGACTACAACAGGTTTACTTGGGTGTGCTTAATACAGTCTAAATGTGAAGTAGTTGTTGTAATAAAGAAATTTCTTGCAATGATAAATACTCAGTTTGAAGCTACTGTGAAAGTTGTTAGATCAAATAACGGTACTGAGTTCTTCAACTCTCAATGCAATTCTTTGTTTGCTTCTCTAGGAATCATACACCAAAGTAGTTTCCCATACACCCCACAAAAAAATAGGGTGGTTGAACCAAAATATAGGCATATACTGGAGGTTGCAAAAGCCTTAAAATTCCAAAGCTCGATTCCTAGGAGGTTTTGGGGTGATTGTGTAAGAACTGCAGTATACTTGACAACAAACTGCCCACTAGTAATTTTCAAGGAAGATCACCTTATGAGTTATTATATGGCAAGCCAGCCAAAATAGATCACTTAAGGGTGTTTGGTTGTTTATGTATTGCAAGTAACCTGCCTAAAGGTGACAAGCTCACAGTTAGAGCTAAAAGGATTGATTCTTATTGGATATTCAGAAACACAAAAGTGTTATAGGATGTATGATCTAGAGAATAGAAGTATATTTGTTAGCAGAGATATAGTATTTAAAGAGCAAGTTTTTTCTTTTGAAAGAACTATAGACTCAGATTGTACAGAGGATCTATTCACTTCTCAACATTGAGTTGTATAAGCAAATGGGCATCAACCACATGCACCTGTGATACCAACCACAACCTAACCAGTTGTTGGTTACAGAAGTAGAGAATGCTAGTGTGGAAACAGACATAGATCATGCAGGTTCTGATGAAGAACATGAGACTGCAACTGCTGCTCCAATAAATGA